ATGACGATGATGAGGATTCTTAAAGGTAAACTAATTTTTTTTAATTTTAGATATGTTTTGATGATGTTTGATGTCTATATATATATATATATATATATATATATATATATATATATATATATATATATATATATATATATATATATATATATATATATATATATATATATATATATATATATATATATATATATATATATATATATATATATATATATATATATATATATATATATATACATATATATATATATATATATATATATATATATATATATATATATATATATATATATATATATATATATATGTATATCAGAGCTGGAGACTCGAGTCCGACTTAAGTCACACCAGTGACTCGACTCGAGACTCGACTTGGGTTTTACTCTGAGACTTGGAACTTGACTCGAGACTTGCTAACTTCGGCTTAGCGACTTTAAAATTATTATTTTCCGTCTCTTCAAAAATGGAGCAATTTATCTTCTATTTTAATTCAACTGTTTTTTAACTATTTTTTATTTTCGAATATTTTTATTTTAACTTACGTTTAACTGGTTTGTAGTCTGAGCGAGATCCGAAAAAAAATACCGCATCTAGGCTCTTTCGTTTTCAAAAAATTCCAACTTTTTTGTGTGCGTTCTGATTGGTTCATTTTTTCTTTAACTCATGAAATTTATTGTTTATAAATGTTCGGTGATTTTAATTTCTTATTTAGTTTTTTTTTAATTCTTTCTTTTTCTTTCCGTAACAATATTCATTTCTCTCTTATTTATTTTTACTTTCAAAATTATCAGATAGTGTTTTTAAAATGTAACACGGATATATTACTATAATTTTTTATGAAAATCAGCATTTGTAATCTTTTTTTCAAAAAAATGATAGAATAAAAACATAAGTAAATTGGCTAAATAGCTTATGAAGTGTTATGTCACTGTATTGTGTATTATGATTCCTTAGCTATTTTATTACAGATGGTTTATTTTACTTTTAAAGCTACTTTAGTAAATAAAGTAAAATTATAACTATTATCAAGCTGTATTTTATAATTGTATAGTGACTGTTTGAATGTAGCTACCAGAGCCATCGCAAGGTTCCCCCATGTCCCTTTTGTAAGAGGAGTTTTGTGGTTTTTATGACAGGTTTTGGAAGGGGCCTCCGAACTCCTAGCCGCGTCACTGATAGCCACCACATGCACGGGAATCTTTTATTGTAATATGACTTGACTTGACATGACACTATATGACTTGAGACTTGACTTGAGACTTGACCTCAGTGACTTGAGACTTGCTCTAAAGCGACTTGGAAACAGCTCTAATGTATATATATATATATATATATATATATATATATTATATATATATATATATATATATATATATATATATATATATATATATATATATATATATATATTATTGAATAAACCCTGTAACCAATACCATGATGTATTTTGGAAATTTTTCTTTTTATGATAATGTACTCTCGGTGTTTTTTGATATTTAATTATGAAAATATGTTTCGATTTTTGACCACAATCAGTAAAGTAGAATAGTTTTTTATCGGTTGTTATGACTTTTTTCCAGTTTATCTTAATAAATCCATAAATTTTTTCTGATTTTGTAAACGTTCTCTCGATTGCTCAATCCTTTTGAAACTTTTTTTTAAAAGTGAACATTTTATCAATGTAACATTTAATTGACTTTCTCGATATCTTAAACTTTTCTAGATAACTCAGAAATAATTGGTGGTTTGTTATTTTATTAATACGTTTTTCATCTGAAAAAGTTAACATAAATTTAGCTTTAATGGGTCAAGGCCAATGTTTAACTTTTTTGCCATTTAAATCATTTTTTTTTTAAATTATAACCATGTTTATTTAACTCTACTAATGATGGTTATTAAAAGTTTGATTGATTCCTTTTCTAAAAATTTTTAATTGTGTTATATGAATATCCAAGTTGTAGCAACAATAAAATACATTCTTTAGTATTTTTTTGATTTTTTTTTTGTCAAAATGCTTTGTTTACATAAATCTTTTTTTTTTCGCCAACTACTTTAAATATGTGATTAAATTATAAATAATATCGTTAAATATTGTTTAAACAAAAAGTAATCAAGTTTTAAAAGTGTTTCTATTTCAATGTCACAAGACTGTATATGAGTTACATAATTTGATAAGTTTTCATTATAGAAAAGAAAATTTGGGTTTTATTGTTAAATTGTTGATTGAATTTGGGTTTTGTTGTTAAATTATATTTATATTTGTTATTTAACCAATATATATTACTTAAAGATAAGTTTTAAAATCTAAATTGTAAACGTATATAGGAATATGTAACATAATTATATTATTATGTGCTTGTATATACTTTATCAAAATTGTTAATAATTTTTTAGAAAGTGTTTATTACTTTACTAATTTTTTATTTATTTGTGTATTTGCTGTTGAAGTGAAATGTAAATCACGGAAATTTTAATATTTCTTATGTAAATCAAAGAAAGTTTGTTTTCAGAAAATATTTACAAAAACATGCCATTGATTTTATATATATAAGATTTGCTAGAAATGATTTATTTAAATTTTACTTTTATTTACGGAAACTATCCGGCCTTTCCGTTGTTTAACGTATTTAATTTTAACGGAAGTATCCGTTTATTTACGGCAAAGTTCCGGCAGCTGCCGATGACCAAACTACCCGTTATTTAACTGAAAAGACCCATTGTCTTTTAACGGAAAAAATCCGTTTGTTTACGTAAACTTTCGTTTACATATGATGGGCTTTTTTGTAAAATAACGGGTAGTTTGGTCATCGGCAGCTGCCGGAACTTTTCCGTAAAAAACGGCCTATTTTTTTAACAGTGTATACACACATACCAATATAATCATAATGTCAATACACAGTCAATTTATTTTAGTTAATTTAGCAAAAACTAAAAAATGTGCTTAAGATATCTTAAGCACATTTTTTTTTTTTTTTTTCAAATAAAATTAGCGTTACATGATTTTTGGACAATCTCTTTGGTCAAAACTATTGTGAGTAGTGACAGATTTTCATAAAACTACAATGACATTGCAAATGCTAAACGAATATTTTTTTAAAGAAGAAAAACAAGAAATTATAAATTAACTGATTTCAACAATGTTGAGCTATTTATATTTGTTTCTCACCATTTGAAACCAACTCGCACCGGCCCTACTTTTAAAGATGTGTATGCATCAATATCTCCAGCAATGACGACTGAACTATAAATGAAAGACGTATATCCATTCTTAATAGTGGAGTAGATGACATCATGTTTTCCTAACTTGTCTATACTCTACAAAATTGACTTGGCTATTCCTTTTAAATCCGTTTATGATGAGAGAAGTTTCAGTAGACTAAAGATCAAAAGTTATCTGTGATCAACAATAACAAAATATTAATGTCAACTCTCTTTGACTTGAAATTAATTTTAATCAAATGTGAGCTTGCTGAGAGCATTGGGTTTGAATTATAAATAAATCATTTTGCTTCAAGCCAGCGAGCGCAAACGTCCGTTAGATGTCTATACAACGCCTTAAAGACGTCACTAGTTAGTATGATATTTTTAAGACGTCTACGGTACCGGCTGGAAATGAAATCTCGCAGAAAAAACTTGAATAAACTAGCAAGAAAGTAAATTTTTTTCTAAATGCGTGTTCTCAGTAATTAATATAGTATAAATATCTTTTTAAATAACCAAATCATTGCAATAATATTAAGTTTTTTTTTTTTTTTTAATTATAAACCAAAAGTAAAAGATAATTGCTAACCGAAATAAACTTAGCAAACTCAAACTTTAGATTGTTTAGTGTCTTTGACCCTCCCTCTCCCACGGGGCTAAATTTCAATCTTTCACTAACACACATACATAATATTTGTTTTACGTTCAAATTAATACATAAATCAGTTAAAATTCAAATTTACAAAACAAAAATTTAATATTAAAGTCAATATTTATATAAATAATTAAAATATAAGAATTTGTAAGTATGAAATGTAGCATATACTTAAAATGATGCATATGCCTACTGAAAACAGTAAAAAAAAACTAAATAAAACAAAACCAGTTAAATAAAGAAATTATATATAAATAATTAAAATCAAAGATTTTATAAGAGTATTAATAATAAAGCAAAACAAATTAAAAATATTTATAATAATGTTTTAAAATGAAAAAAAAAATGATTTTCTTTTAAATAGGAAAAAGTTGCATTCTTAAGTAAAATCAAAAATTTTTAAACTTATTTGTTCCAAAAAAATGCTCATGTAATATAACACGAAATACAAAATTTACCTAAATTAGTTTTCAAAACTAGTTAAAGAATTAAATTTTTATTACGTAAATTGTATTTATTTTTAACTTTTAAAGAATGCATAAAGTGAAAAGAAATCGGAGATTATTATTATTAATAACTATTTGTATTTTATTATTATTACTATAAAAATATTGCGGATAATTAGTGCAAGTTTTACATTTAAATATAAAACGCATTAAAATTAGTAAAGGCCGTTTTCCACAAGACGAAAAATTCGCGCGAAGCAAATATTTTCGTCGTTAAGCATGCGTAGATTAAACATTTTTGGCGATTATACTGATTTTTTTTCGCTACAGGGTTTCGCTGCAGCGAAAAAAAAAGTCGGATTTATTTCGACTTTTTGCTAATCGCCATAAGCGAGAACCAATAAAGTTTTGAATATTATACCACGTGATGTCAACATTAAAAAAAAGCGAAAACATGTTGTTTTTAAAGTAACAAAAAACAAAATTCTTAACCTGGCGTTCTTATTAATTTTATATGAACTTACTCTGAAAATTGGCTAGCATGAGTAAATTTATCAAACGAGGGGCAAGACTTGCATAAAAAAATGACCAGACTTATATATAAAACTAAATCGAAAATTTACAAATATAAATTTTCACACTGTAGGTACGTGCGTATCTGGCTATTTACGGTACCGATTTATAAGTAAAAAACTGTGACCGTTTTTTTCACAGCGTGCTCGAAGTCGGTGTGGTAAGGATGTATTTATTAGTCTTATTTTTTAGAATTTTTTATCAGCTTAGACTTTTTTTGAAAAGTAGAATGTTTTATGTTGTATAAATTATGTTTTTTTTCCAAAAGCATTAAGTTTTTCAGTTATTTTATTGCTCTTTAAAATTTTGTTCGTGTTCTGGAAGTGCATTGATGTTGAAGGCATGTTGCTACACATTTAAAATTTTCCAGTCAGCTGTGTAAATCTATTTTCTATGTTCCTGCCAAATTTCATTAAAAAATATTTATGCGCAGACACCCTATTTTGCCACCTAGTGGAGGTACATTTTCCACCTTTTTTACAACTACTGTTACTGTTACACTTTATTAAACTGTTTCTGTTAATGTTACTGTTACTTCTTGATATAAATTCCGTTGTTTTTTTTACATTTACTAGTGATTTTTATTAGATTTTCAAATTTCGTTTCTGTTCTGGAGGTACATTAATATTGAAGGCATGTTGCTACACTTTTAAAATTTTTCAGTAAGCAGTATAAATCTATTTTCTATGTGCCTGCCGAATTTCAATAAAAAATATTCATGCGCAGACACCCTATTTTTCTGTACAGTGGAGGTATGTATTTCCACTTCCGTTTAGGCGGGGGGGGGGCGTAATTTGATGGTGAGCATTTGGTATATTAGATTGTTTATTCATAATAATGAGATATATAGATAGCTTTCATTAAAATGGTATACAATTTTTTTTTCAATAGCCTTTTATTAGTAATAAATGGCTAATCAAAAAAAAAAGGTTGTTAGTAATAATATTACTAACACTATTGATGATTTCACACACCAAAATTAGTTTCAAGGCTAAATTCTGTTAAATCTAATTTAAATTGCTGAAATAAAAATTATGACACTTTTTTATGGTGATTCAGAATAAAATGCGAAATAATGATAACAAGCAAAAACAGCATTTTCTCAATTTTTTTCTGTACCCATAATTTACCATATAACCACCAACCAGCATTATTTATGATATATAAAAATTATATATATCTATAATTTTTTATTGACTAAAGGCAATTTATTAGTTAGTTAATTGTGATTGATTGCTGACCCAATTAAATAGCAATTAAATATTAATAATGATTAAATTACAATTAAAGTAGTGTTATGATCGTTGAATTTAATTTAGTGCATCATGGGACCTAAAAAGAAAACAAATCTATTTTATGGTAAAGCTAAATCTTATTTAGTTTGTAATTTTCCAATACCAGCTCATTTAAATATGGGCTGTAGAAATGGACATGTACTGCATATATTGGCAACTAACAATGATTCATACCAAGTAACTGTAGAACTAATCAGTAAGTATTTTAACATCAACATTTTTCCCAATCAGATTCTGCAACTAGTTAAAAAATCAAAAGTCTTTGTAAAAGCTTTTTCACGAAATTCAAAACAATTTATTGACATCTGCAACATGCTCTTTGAATACCAACCAACAACATCTGCTGTCACTCAAACATCACAGTTAATCACAACCTCTAATCACATTGCTACGTGTTCTTCATTTTTTTCTCAGCAAATCACTGTTTCGTCTCTATCAAATAGTGACTCTTCTCAAGAATCATTATCCAAGTTGAGAGCTGACCAGGTTAGTCCCAAGAAAAAGATTATGAGAAAGAGATTAACCATTTTGGAAAACGAAATCGCAATTAAAAAGAGAAAACATAAAGAAGATCTTAAAGGTTTAAAAGAAAAGGCAAAGGCTAGACCATACAGATTAAAATATCTAAATCAGGTTATTGCTCGTAAGGAAAAAATAATTCATCAACTTAGAAAAAAATTAAAAGAAAATTTTTTAAATATACAGTTAAAAAAACTTCAAAATCAAATTTTTTATTTGAAACAACAGTTAACATTCACCGAAACCAAGTTTTTTAATCAAAAGACAATGTTATCCCAACAACTTGCTGAGAAAAATTCTGCAATTCTTGTACTTCAAAATGACATACTGGTTTTACAGGAAAAGTTAGAAGATATTCAGCAAGTAACACAAAACACCAAAAATGAAAAATGTTACTCAGCAGATATCAGAACACTTATATATGACATGCTTGTGTGCCAAGTTCCTAGACATAGTGTGCCATCTCTGCTCCATAAAATTGGAGAACATACTGGCAATCAATTTAGTCAAATTCCACATCGGACAACTGTAGAACAAATGATGCGTGAGCTTGGTGTTCTTTCAGACTTACAGACTGCTGAGATAGCATTTTCAACGAAAGATCTGACACTTGGTTTTGATGCAACAACCCAGGAGGGTGTTCATGTAAATGCTGTACACTTAACAACCGAATCAGTATGTATGGTTGTAGCTATTGATCAACTTCCTGGAGGTACAGCTTATGACTATCAGAGTCATATTACAAAATCTGTTGATAATCTTGCTAAGTTATATAGTGACTTCTACAAGCTTAAATACACTGATGTAAGAAGCACTATTATCGGGAACATAACAAATACCATGAGTGATAGAGTTGCAACAAACCATGCAACAGTCTCAAAGTTAAACCTAGTTTGGCAGAAATCATTAAATGAACTTAACTGTCACCTTCACCCCTTGGACACAATGACAAGCTCTTGCAAGTCTTCACTTAAAGCATTAGAGACTTGAAAAGGGAAACTTTTTGGAAGAGACTGCATAGCAGCAAACATTGTTGTACAGCTGAACAAACTTCGTTACAAGGATGCTAAAGGTACCTATATAGTTTTAAAACCATTCTTTTACTTTAATATAGTGTAGTTTTGTAAATAAAATTACAAGTTAAAAATATATAAATATTATAATTATTGCATGTTTTTAATTCATATTCTCCTTGCAATTCCCAAAATGACTTTCTTTATGTTATTCATAGGCGATCCAAAGGGTTTTGTAACCTTTTTGGACCAACATGAGTTGCCCAGAGGATTGCTACCACGCTATAGAGGGAACAGACTACATATACTTTTTCACACATGTGGTATTTTGATCCATCATTATGCCATATTGAAGATATTTCTGTGTTTCTGGCTTGGCGTTATGTGGAGGTCTGCGAAATAGTTTGTTTCAAGACTTGACATCTGAAATAGGTATACCACTATTATTTACAATATTATAGGTTATAGAATGCATCTTTATAACATAGTAATGACACATGATTAACAAAGAATAAAGACAAATTTTATTTTTTGTTACTTATTAACTAATTTACCTTAGGTATCCGTGAGTTGTGTGTTTTAGCTTTAATTGGAAAGCTACTTTCTGGCCCTTGGATGACAAAATTTTATATTACACCAGGTACAGGACTTGACTACATATCTGGCATTCAGGTAGTAAAAGATGTTAGGAACACTCTTATTGAGAGCAGCAAGAATCCCTTATCTCTACTTAAACGAAAAACTGATTTCTTTGGTAATGATATTAAAGATGTTGTTTTTGATTGAATAATCAGCTTTTGCCCAGTAACTAATGAAATGAGTAAAGCATTAGGTGACTGTCTTAATGCTGTTATTAGCGTCATTGACAGGCAGTACAAGCGTCAGTTCGAAATGAGTTCTAATGATCTTCTTAAAGACCAGACTAAGTCAGCTAGGCTTCACATCATTGATTCAGAAGAACTTATGGGTATGTTTAGCGCTGCAAAGCACAAAGCTCCTAATGCTACTCTTTGTTTTCTTTCTTCGAAACTTCGTGCTTGCAAAAATAAAACAACTGCTCTGCTTTGTAAAAATCTCTAATGCCAGGAAAAATCGATTTACAAGTATGCAATTCCTTCCTTTTTTTGTAGTATTATGAAAAGATTTATAATTTTTTAATTTGTTTTTATATATACATATATTTATATAGAAGTTTAATTTTAGGTAGTCGGGTAGTTACCGACATCCAACAACCAGGGTTGACCTGGTTGCAACGTGCTATGGGAAACCAAAGCTCATTTAATTTTTGACATAAGCAAATTGCTTGGCTTATGACAATTAATGTTTATCATTGATGTTTATCATTATCAATGATGGCAATGCATTTTTCTATCAGGTATAACAGAGTTTCGTTTGCGTGGATTAAGAGATGTTAGTGTTCCATTACAATAAATCCCTTTAAAATTAAAATTTTTATTTATTATTTATTTGCTTGCCATTACCAGAGAGTAATGACCAGATAACTTTTTCTTCATTATAATTTTTAATCAAATCTTTTATATTTCAGGTTAAACAGTATTGAAGGGTCGGCTATCAATTTTTTTATTTGGTAATGGGAAGTTTGTTGTGTATCAGGAGTTAAGTGATTTTGAATTTTTTAACTTAATAAATCATTCTCATATTTAGTAATCTCTAATAGGTTTTTCAGTTATGGTGCTAAATATCTAATGCATTTTCATTTATTTTTTATTGCAAGGTTTTAACAATAATGGCAATTTGCTACTGTGGATATTTATGTTAAAGACCTCAAGATTATATTTATTAATTCAGTAATTACAGTTAAATGTTAATTCATTATACATTAGTTAATTGTTAGCCTTAATTTTTTTTTTTTTTTTAATTTTATATCTGATATATTTTTTCTTATTGCAAGGTTAAACAACATGATAAAAAATACATGGTTGCTTCAGTGGATGTTGATTTTTTTCATATCAAGATTAAACCGGTTAGATCATATTTATTTAGAGGTTTATTATGTTTATTAATGCAATAATAACAGTTATTTATTATTTATTATTCGGGGCATAGGGCATCCTTATTAAATAGGTATTGCGATATTAGTTTTGAGAAATTTTTACTTTATTTTAGATATCATTGGATGTGGTTTCCTTTGCGTACTAAAGAATCGACTCTTTCTATCTATGGATGTCACAGTTTTGTTTGCTTCAAAATCTAGGCTTTTTTCAAAGCCACAATTCTGTTAAAAACATTACTGAGCAAAAAAGAAATAATTTTTTTGTTAAAGAAGTGTGTTTTAAAATAGTTTTAGTTTTTGCGGTTTGTTGGAATTTATATATAATTAGATATATGGGGCTATGGAAGGGAAAAGGAAGGGGAGCAGTGGTGGACATCCCCCCACCCACCCGACCCATTTGTTTAGTTGGATATTTTTTTAGTAGGTTTTTAGTTAAACTATATGGTGTAATTGACACGGCTTTTAAAGTGGGGAGGAGGGCCAACTCCCTAACTTAAAAAAAAGCAACCCTATATTTCTAAAAAAAAGGTCCTCGAAGCAATTAGTGGGTTAGGAGGCATAGCCCCCTATGGTGTCGACGGCCATGAAAGAGGGAGGTGAGACCCCTTCCGTGAATGAATTTTTTGTTTATTTAGTTGGCAAAATATATCTTTATATCTATATATATCTTTCATTGAAAAAGATAAAATAGGCATATATAGAGAGCGAAAACGCTTTAAATGTCTTTAAAGTTCATCTATGCGCTATAGAAAACCTAGCCTTGGTACATATTTAATAACATAAATATATATAACCTTAACCATTATTATGTATTAATGTATATATATATATATATATATATATATATATATATATATATATATATATATATATATATATATATATATATATATATATTGTAAATATCGTTAAAATACACGATATTTTATTTAAAATTTTGTTATAAATTTTAATATTAGGTTTTCATCATTAAAAATATTTTAGTTATAAATTGTTAAAAATTTTTTGTTATATTAAAAACTTTTTTAAAAATGTTATTAACTCGTTTTGCACTTTTCACTAAGCAAAATCATGCGCAAATTAACAATAATGTTCTACAACAAAGCTACCGTTAGCCGAACGCGAGTTTTTTACGATGGTTGCATTTTTTCTAAGCAATCCTTCATAAAAATAATGTTACTTAAATAAGCATAACTTTTTTTGTAATTGTTCGTTTTTCATAAAGTTTTCACCATTTTAATATAAATTCAAAGCTCTTTCGAACCATATATAATACTTAAATGAATAAATGGTTTAAAATTTTAACACACGTACCTACACACTGTCAATTACGAAAGTTACACTTCATAATAGAACTTCTTTTTAATAGAAATGTTCATACACTGTTAAAAAAATATCGCGTTTTTTACGGAAAAGTTCCGGCAGCTGCCGATGACAAAACCTCCCGTTATTTTACGGAAAAACCCATCGCATGTAAACGGAAGTTTCCGTAAATAAAGGGATATTTCCGTTTAAATATAATGGATTTTTTCCGTTAAATAACGGGAGGTTTTGTCATCGGCAGCTGCCGGAACTTTTCCGTAAATAAAGGGATTTTTCTGTTTAAATATAATGGGGTTTTTCCGTTAAATAACGGGAGGTTTTGTCATCGGCAGCTGCCGGAAATTTCCTTGTAAATAAAGGGATATTTCCGTTGAAAATCAACTGGTTTTTCCGTTTAAACAACGGAAAGGTTGTGGAAACTCAACTACTGGATAATTTTCGCAGTTATAATGTTGCAGTTATATTCCGTTCATATGAAAATTTAAAAAGTGAGCATTTTAGATATAAAATAGACAGATGTTATCGATAATATTATCTAAAAACAAAATTTCTTTGATTAACATACAAATATACAATTTTTCCTGATTTACATTTTATATTAAAAGCAAATACATGCATAAATTAGTAAATAAACAATACCTAAAAAAAAAACTAACAATTTTGATAGAGTACAAGCACATAATATTACACAATCATTTACATTATAGATTTATTTATAGAAAAACTTATTTAAACTTATTTTATTTAATATATATTTGTTTAAATATATTAAAATATATTTCGTAAAATATAAAAAAATCAATCCAAATACACAAAAACAAGGTTTATTCCTTTCTTTTTCATATCGAGTCAACTAGAAATTTAAAATAAAAATAAATATACCATAATATATAAATATATAAACAATAATATAAGTGTTTGGGTAAGATTTTATTATTTAGCAAAGCAATAATCTATAAAAAACCTTAAAGTTGTTTCTCTAAAAGAATGATTTACGTAAGGCCAATTTTTTGCCATTGTTGGTGCTAAATGCCAATACTAAATTTTAAATTAAAATAAATAAAAATCATTACAAATTCTTCAAAATCAAATTCCAATAATTAATTACAAAATTTACCTACAAAATAATCATTG